TCCAATTCCCCATGCATTCGAAATAAATCCACGTTTGAAGAACAAAGTTAAATTTATTATAAAGCGATGGTTAGATCAGGAACACAAAAATTGTTAGGAATGACTACAGACCCCAAAGGGAAACATAATAAAGGAACTTGAACCAGGTTAGGACCAATGAGTCCAATTCCCGCTGGCGGGAATGCAGATAAAACGAGCGCCCAATTCCTTGGGAACACAACGGTTCTACAACATAAACACAAGTTCAGTTCTCAGGCAGGAGATACATAATAAGCAAAGCAACGCCATAACTTCATCCCACCTCCAGCTGGTTGACCTTGAGCAGTTCCGCAGATGTAGCAAGGAAAAGAAAGTAAACACCTACACGGGAGGATACAGGGTTGGGGGGGGTGAACAGAGTACACTGTAACATGGAGAAAAGAACACACCACCTTATGGCAGCTTGCTGACAGCGTGATCTGGTCCATGGGGTCGCGAAGAATCGGACTCGACTGTGCGACTGAACAACAACAACAAAAATGTCCATAGTCCTATTTTATGTTCCTAAAGTAACAGAATGACTTTCAATCTGGGGAAAAAAAGAAGTGCTAATGTAGCATTTTTTTTTTCAATTTCCCAAATGGGTTCTTTTCCCCAAGCTTCGAAATTTCCGGAAATTTTACATCTCTACTCTTAGAACTGTTTCTGCTATAAGCGAGCTGTGTTTTTTCTTTGAAAAGACACTCTTCCACCATTCCCCCTCTTTCGGCTCTTCTGCCTTTCCTTCATGCCTCACAAACTGCAGGGAACACTTACCTCTCGCTGAGCTTTCCTGGCCTGCTTCTCCTCTAACTTCCTTTGTTTCTTCGCTCCGATCTTCCCAGAAACATGTGGCTCTGCCGCTTCAGCGCCATCATTCTCATCTGTGTCCAGTTAATAAAAGATGAAAAAGGAGAGGCTGTTATCAAAAGGATCGCGCCACCGGGGGGGGGCGGGGCGGCATCCAGCCGACTCCCAGCTTTTAGGAAACTTGATAGATCTCCCCTGCTCATAGTGGAATCCAGGGCTGTTACTGCGAATCCTGACAATCTGCTTTGGGACTGATAAGAACATAAGAACATAAGAGATGCCAATGTTGGATCAGGCCAAAGGCCCATCCAGTCCAACACTCTGTGTCACACAGTGGCCAGAAATACCCGGTGCCATCAGCAGGAGGTCCACCAGTGGGGCCGGGACATTAGAAGCCCTCCCACTGTTGACCCCCCCAAGCACCAAGAAGACAGAGCATCACTTGCCCCAGAGCCCCTATCTATACCTTGTAGCTAATAGCCACTGATGGACCTCTGCTCCATATGCCTATCTAATTCCCTTTTGAAGCCGTCCATGCTTGTAGCCGCCACCACTTCCTGTGGCAGTGAATTCCATGTGTTGATCATTTTTTGGAACTACCCGAAGGAGTCTCAGAGCAGTTTACAATCTGGTGAGCCGGTTTGGTGCAGTGGCTAAGTGCGCGGAC